AATAATAACGATTTATTTATTTTTTAAAATTAATTTTTTTTTCTATTTTAATTATATAACTTTGTATATGTAAAACAACTTCAAGTTCCGATCTTATCTTTTATAATATAGTTCAACATAATAACAATACTAAAAATCTTTTTTTATATTTTTTATGAAATTATTATTTAATTGTTAATAACAATGATTTAATTATTTTTAATAAAAAATATTTTTTTATATCCCGCGCAACGCGCGGTCATTCGTCTAGTTTTAATTAAATGTAAGGATGGGGTTGAAATTGTAAATAGAAATGCCCGACAGTGGACATGTTTGCTGATGATGAGATGATAAATGTTGTGAAATACTACGTCTGCTTAATAATATGGAATAAAGTCGTAATATATTCGAAAATAAGTCGTTAGGTTTGTTAGAGCTTTGATGCTTATTATCAAAACTTGAAGGATGGGAAATGTAATTTGTAATACTTATATAAATCTTTTAGACTCGTACCATTGATACCAGTATTATAGAATCAATATCTTGATCAGGATATGGTTGCCTAGATATTGAAAAGTTTATGGATATTGGAAGATCTTCTTAGTGGATCTCATTATGGCAAGATTATGCTCACGGATTTTAAAGAAAAAGAACCATCTTATTTGTGAGTTCATTATTTATTGATAAATTTATATATGATTAAAAATATATGGTAAAAAATTCATTATATTTTTTCATCGATTTTCGTATTTTATATTTTTCTTAATCGATCAATTGTTTTTTTTCTCGGAAGAGATGATTTTTTAATGTTGATCATTGGCATCCATTTGGTTATTGATTTGTTAGTTATTGTATACATGTTTCAAGAAAACGTTTGTTCATAATAGCTCTAGACGACTAGCTCTATCCTTCTTTATGTCGTGTATAAGGAATGAATGATAAAAATGTTACATCATAGAGCAAAATCAAGAAACAAAAATACATATAATGGGCTGATTTGAAATACACATAATTACACACATACATACAAATATACACAAATTATGTACTAAATTTTTATGTTTTATGCGACAACAATAGTCAACCACAAATGTGACAAACCTCAATGTAATAGCTCAATGTAATAGGCCTAATGTAAAATATTTGACTTTTTATGATGAAAATACAATATTATACATTGAAATACATCTAAAATACAAATTAAACCATTAAATTACGAAAAATATGAATGAACGAATTCTCAACAGTGTACAAAAAAATGAATTAAAACACACTATTGAAATAAATATATGTATTAAATGTTGTTTTGTATAAAACGTATATAATCAGAAAATATGTGTTATTATAATCAAATAGATATTATAAACAAAATTTAAAAATAAATAAAATAAAATAAAAAACGGAGTTTGTATACAAAAGGTTATGAATTCTTGAAGAAAACGCACATGTTAGCCGTCTAAAGACATAATCAATGAAACTTCAAACATTTTGTTCGGTGCCTTAGATGATGAATTTTCAACTTCTAATAACTTTCCCTCAATCATAACGTGATTTAGCATCTAAATATATCTTTTAACTCTTTTTGCCTGAAAATCCTTAAGGATCGAACAAAGCAGTGTTAAATTTCCTGTTAACAAATAATCAAAAGATTGGTTAGGTTATCTACGACAATCGTTAGAAAAAACTGTTATTTTATAAACCTTCACAAATCTACTACAAATGACTAAATGTTCCGTAAACTCCTTGGTAGTTATATAAATATTTAAAAGTGAAAATATGTTACATGCTTGTATTTGTAATGATTACTTCTTGGTATAATCCATACTTTCAGATAACAATATGTTGACTACAAAAATTAAAGGCTGTAATAAAGATTGTGATCAAAGTAGTTGTCTTAGTACCAAAATTGGTTATTCCTGGGTTGGTTTAATTGGAATAGGTTACGCAATCATATATAAATATAACTAAAATAATAATCCTTAACAAATTATTAATTAATATTTCTACTTGAAAAAGTAAGCCAAAGCAAAATAAAGGTATAGTGAACCAACCTATTAGTTTTATTAAACATCATAATTTTAAATCATTAGTTATATATTATCATTAATTGATGAGTTTATACTTCATTTGACATTTGTATTAAAAAAATTATTAAACACTTACAAATCGTACAAAAATAACATATAGAATAATAAAAATTAACATACATTTGATATATAGCAACACTATTATTCAAAGAAAATTTGTGTTGTAATAACCTTTGGTACGATAAATAGTCATTTTTCAACTTTTCATATTTTAAGCACAAATTATATTGTAACGTCCGGTTCCTTTTATGTATTTTAATAAGAATTATTCATTTTTGCAAAGGGACTCAACAAGTTGGAGGCCCCAAACTCGTCGAGTAGAAATGTGATTTTCGGACGCGAGACTTGAAGTTTATTCTAAGAGTTGAGAAGCCTCAACTCGACGAGTAGAGCTGCCATAGTGAAACCCTAATTTATAAGGTTTGCACATTATTTAAGGACCTTAACACCTTATTGTGGCTTCCTTCATCGCCTCCCTCAGTCCAGCAAAACCCTCATTCGTAATCTTAAGCTTTTTTAGTGTGTGTGGGTGGAAAGAGAGTGATTCTTTGATATTTCCTTGAATGAATAGAAGCTAGAAGTGCTTGGTTGAAGGAAGAAGCCTTGGATCCATAGATTTCGTAGTCAAAGCAGCCTTATTGTGGTATAAAGTATATACCTTGACTATTCATTTACTAGATCTCTTCATGGAGTAGTTTAGGGCCTTAAGGAGCCTATTATGGAACCATTCATGGATGTAAGCATGTTTTAGAGTCATGACTTCAGATCTAGAGCCTTTGAAGGACTCCATGGCATAAAGGTGCCAACTTTATGGCCATGGGAGTCCCATGCAACTTGTAAACCACTTTTTAGGGCTTTTTGAGCTAAATAACCCATGCATGGACGTAAAGTTAGAAACTTTACGTAATATATTGACCCTAGGGAACCAAATCTATGACTTAGATGCATTAAGCCCGACTAGAAACGACTGTATGGATTTAGACTATGGGGGGACTCGGAGAGTTGTTCATACAACTCGACGAGTTGGGTTGTGGTCCCCCAACCTTTTCTGTTACTGAGTAAACTCGTTGAGTCTAGGAAATGACTCAGCGAGTTGGCCATGGTTTTGAGTTATGAAGATTGAGGAACTCGACGAGTTCAACGAAGGACTCGACAAGTTGTGAGTGAAAGGTCTCGATTATGTTATGAAGATTGAGGAACTCGACGAGTTCAAGGAAGGACTATGCGAGTTGTGAGTAAAAGGTCCCGACTGTGTTATGAAGATTGAGAAACTCGACGAGTTGTGAGAAAAATGTCCCGACGATGTATGATGAGGAACTCGACGAGTAGGATTGAGATTTCAGGGTTTTATGGATCATGGAACTTGACGAGTTGATGGACCAACTCAACGAGTTGAGTCAACCAGGATGTTGACTTTGACCAAAACGTTGATATTAACTTTGGCCATTGACCAAAGTTGACCCTTAAAGAGGTTATGGGTATGAAAGATTAATTAAAGGAGATTGTTATGTGTAGGAGTTTGAGAAGAGTTAATCCTAAAGCTGATGACAGTTCTGCTACTACGGGACATTGAGGTGAGTTACCTTCCAGTAGAAGTGGGTCGAAGGTACCAATTTCGGCCCACTAGTAAGAGCTATAGTAGAGATGATTGTCTTTGTGATAATTATATGATATGTCACTATTTGTTATGTTAATATGCTAGTATGATATGATGTTATGTGATAGTGGTAGGAGGGGTAGGATAGACCCCAATATTGGTCGATGGGGCTGAAGAGGTATGCCAGCACCCAAATAATCTAGGCAGTATATGACTTATATGTTTACGCACTAGGATGGTATGTGGTAGAAGTAGCGAGTGAAATAATCCCCAGTACCGGTCAAAAGGACCGAAGGGGTAGGCCATCACACTGGTATGCTAGGAAAGGTACCGATCGACAGGACCGAAAGGGGTAAGCCATCACCCTGATATGTTAGGCAAGTTACTGATCGAAAGGAGTGAAAGGGTAGGCCAGCACCATGATATGTTAGGCTAGTTCCGGTTGAAAGAGACCGAAGCGGTAGCTAGTACCCGGATATGTTAGACAGTATGTGTTATATATGGTATGTTGTATGATGGGGAACTCACTATGTTTTGCGCTTATGATTTTTAGTTTTGTTTTTAGGTACTTACTCCTCGAAGGGAAAGGAGTTGGCACGGTAGCAGCGCATCACACACACGATTTTCCACATATGAGATTCTTGGGATTTGTACTCTGACATTGTTACTATATTATGACATGCTTTTGAGACATATGATCTATGATTTTATGAAATAAAATAACTTGATGTTTTATATAAATTGTTTTATGAATCATTATATCAAAAATTGAAATTTTTGGGATGTTACATATATAATATTAATATAGCTACAATATGTATAAATTAGAGGAAACGAAAAAATTATTACCAATTAATGACTATAAGTTAAAAATGTTTGTCATGTAGTGACTAACTAATTTAAAGTTAAAATTATAAATACACATAAATTATAACAACTCTTAAGTTGCCAGATGAATTTAGTGCACATAATTTGCCTATGTTATTATAGATATATAGATGAATATCAAATATGTTTTACATAGTATCTTAAGGTTATATGAGAGTAACAAATATCATTGTTACTAAATTAAAAATATTTAAATTAACAAATCAACTCTATTTATTTGCAGTTATTGATGTCTTATATCATTAAATTATATTTAATGATGTCTTTGTTAAAACTTTATCATAACTAGTGTAGGGACCCATGCTTTGCATGGGTCAGAAAGCATTTTCTTTTTTCAGATTTTTTATTCTTATAATTGGACAAATACTTTGAAATGCAATACTCTAATAAGAATAAAAAAAGTTGAAAGTACGGTTCTACAACAGACAAATAAATAAAAATAGCAGCAATTAGAAATGAATTACAACAGTGCCTTCAAACCATGACCATAAATGTGAGAGAAACTTCAAATTAAGGATCATTACTGATATACCATCTTAGGGACAACAAAATAAGTTAAGCAATTAAAAATCTAAAAATTTATCTTGACGTTTTCCACCTTTTGCGTATTCCCTCTTCAACCCTTACAATAATACAATTTTTTTTCTCCCTTTCCTCTTTTCTTCAAAATCTCTTTCCAATCACCACAAAATCCTTCTACAGAAGCTGCATAAGTTAAAAACAAAGTAGTATTAGTAAAAAGAAAAGTAAAAACAAAGTAAAAAGTGAGTTTCTAGAAACAAACTATAACAAATGGTAACTCCCTCGCATCTTTGAAAAAGCCCAATTATGCGAATAAGAAATAACAATAGAAGTAGAACACACATTTGGTCCGTGTTTAAATGTAACAATGTACTTTCAGACTACAATGGCTTAATAAGAAACAAATTAAAATAAACAAATAAATAAAATCAAAATTACAATTTATGCCCATGTTATGTATTTTTGGATTAAGTCCACAAAAAATCTTTTTGAAAATTTGGTCCTGTTTTCAATTTTTTAATATTTTTGGTCCTTCTCACTACCACCATTAGCAAAACATTATTAAATACATGTAAAATAACCATATTACTCTTGAATATAATCTTTGCACCTTGAATCCTCCAAAGGTCAGAAATTGAAAGTCTATTCCACTGGTAATTCCAACACCTATAGGAATGCCAATTTTATCCTTCTTAATGCGCCTCACCTACGTAGAGTTTCATCAAACAATTCAACCTTTTGATGAACCATTTTCCTCCATATGTAATGAGTTCATTTCCATTTATTGGTAATTAAAAATGGTATTTTTATTTAATTATACTACAAATCCATAGAGTAGAGAACAAAAAAAAATAATAAAAAAAAATAAAAAATCAAACAAAAATCAGTTTCTTAAGTTAAATTATACATATACTATCATCAAGTTTATGTATCTCACACCCATCAAGCCAATAAGATGATATCTCCCTGAATTGAATATCAATTTCGTAACTCGGGTGGAATGAATAATAGTCTTTTACACAAATTATATAGAACACACGAATTAGTTCTTAATAAACAAAAATCAACAACAAATGTTTTTTTACCTAACACCTGAAGTTGAAAAGCAGATGTTGTACTCATCTTTGTTGTCTTTCTGCTTCTCTTTTGATTCCGATTTCAAGTCTAACCTGAAAGAAATGATGTTTAATTTGAAGAACCTGATCTTTATTGGAAAAAAACCTAAAATTAGAAAGATATTGAAATATTATCGCACCAAAACTTGTTGAGAAATCATTTCCTGTACCAAGAGACAACAACTGCAGTTGGTGGAAAATTCCAACTTCATCAGTCATAAAAATTTTAGGCAGGCATTGTACAACTTACTTACCATGATATAATATAAAATAGATTAGAAATTGAAAAATGATTTAAGTTTTCTGTCATCAAGATTTTAGGATAGAAAATCTTTTAAACAGATGTCTATATATTTTCACCACCTTTGGTTGTAATTTGTAAATCCCTATCCTTACCTTCTTCCCTAAAATTTCTAAAAGTCCCTTTTTGCCTACTTTAAAAAAAAAAAAAAAAAAACTGAACTTGGACAAAAAAAATTCAAAAACCTGGTTCGAGCATTTTATCGAGCAGTTGGAATGCATCAAGAAAGTTCCTTTAAAATCTCCCCAGCTACCTCAATAGTTGTCTCCGAATTCAGTACCAAAAGAAATTTATAGAACACAAGAAAAAAAAAAAAAAAAGACGGTGCTTTGTGTAAAAAAAATCGAGTCAAATGATAGAACATGCGTAAAAAAGATGGTGTTTATGTCTAAAAAAACCGACTCAATTTCGAAGCCAAAGGGGCATGTAATCAGAATCGTCCTCCTCCTTTGCTCTATCTGACCACAAAAATCATAAATTTAGAATTTAAAATGTGGGTACAGTTTAAAGGATTAGAGAGGAGCTTGAAGCAAAACGTCTGTAAAGATTTTTTTTTTAAATCAAGGTGCAGAGATTTTGAGGTGGTATTTTCACCCTAAATCTTGGGAGGAGAAGACCAATCAGTGAAATCATTGCCATGAAATAGTAATTGTAACAATAATAAAGAAAGTGAACTGAAATCGCTACCCCTTTCATACCTGTAACCTCAGTGGGGGTTGCCGGAAATCAACAGGCTGACCGGTGACCGACGAGTATGGTGGTGAGGAAACCACTACAGCTTTCGTGGTCTCCTTGTGCAGACCGTAAGTAGTGAAGGAGCGGGGACTTTTTTTGGGTGCATAGAGAGAACTGCATAATGAAAGAAGAAAAAGATTAATGGAAAGGATATGAGGCGGTGGGGTAATAGAAGCATTAAACTAACATCAGTTAAGGAAACCTCAGTTAAAGAAACCTGATGAACAGTATCATAGTTAAGGTACTGTTCATAAGGATTTTGTGCTTTAATTATATGTTTAATTAAGGATCCTACAAATTTTATAATAACCTTTTATTATATTACATGATGTCTTCTTTAAAACATTCTCATAAACTTTAATTATATTTCATGACATTCATTAAAACTTTCTTGTAATTAGATCTTACAAGTTGTATATTCAGTTTTAAAATACAATACGATTGAATAGCTTTTTTTTGATGCATTTTAATAAATAATAGGCAAAAGAATTAAAACATATTTGTATATATAGTAGAATTATTTATATCGGATTATTAATAAATAAAATTAATACTTTATAACTTCAAAAAATATATTTTTCATCATGAAAGGAGCTTTAAGAAAATATATGTTAAACATATTTTAATAATCAATCTCAGTGAAATTTCACTAATTTATTTTAATAAGTAGATGAATACCTACACATTGCGCAGAATACAATAATATATTTGAAATCTTTACAAATGAAAGTTTTGTAAATATACGAATGACGTTGTTGTTAGCTCTTATATAAAAAAGCTTATAATAAATTGGTATAAATATTGTTTGTATTGAGTTATATGACAACATAGAAATTTTTAAAATTCTATAATTTTAATTGTCTTATTGTCCTTTACCTACAAATTACTTATCAATAAAATTAAATATAATATATAGTGGAATAATATTTATAGTCGTTGTTATGATTAATTCATTTTAAAAACTTTATTTGCTTAAGATTTTAATTTTTATTGTAATTATTTAAAACATCAAACATTATTTTTGTTTTTAAAAGTCACAATATAATGTTTTTATATAATGTTACTTTTAACTATTATTGTTGTAAGTTATTTAAAATAACGTATTCGAAAACTCTTAATAATTTTAATTTGGTTTCAGAAATTTAACTTTCTTAAAATCTATTTGATGAATATTTTTATTTTCTTTGATTTTAATTATTTAAAACAAAAAAATAATGTTTTTATTTCTAAAGATAACAATATATATATATATATATATATATATATATATATATATATATATATATATATATATATATATATATACTTATAATATTACTTTTAACTATTCTTATTATAAGTTATTTTTAAACTACTTATTTGAAAATTCTTAATGATTATAAAAAAGACATTCATGTTTTTTTTGTTAATTTAGGATTACAAATTAGGTTTAACACTATAATTATAACTTTTAACTATTTATAAAATAGTTTCTCGTTTTTTTTAAGTTTAACTGAAATTTTGATTTAAATTAATCGTTTAACATTACCTTAAAATTAATAATTTAATTATTTTGCATAAAATCATAAATTATACAAAAGTTGTGACTTTAAAATGAGAACTGCTCATATACGACAACATATTGAAACTAATAAGTTAAGTATAATATGTTAAAAAGTTAAAGCCATAATTTTATAAATATAAGTAAATATGATATTTTAATATTATAGTTTAGTTAATTTATTATTACAATTTAGTTTTTAAATTAATTTAACACTATTAACCAATTTATAATAATTATTAGAAAGAATTTGAAAATTCATGAAGGTTTTAAATTTATATGGTGATAAGAAAAATGCACAATTTATATTATAGTAGGCGAATGTCCGCGTGTTGCGCAGAAACACTTATATAGTTGAAATCTTTACAATATATGTTTTCTTAAATATAGCAATAACATTGTTGTTAAATTTGATATAATAACTCGTATACTAAGTTGATATAATATATTGATTATTTCGAATTATATGGTAATATATATACATCTATTAAAACTGCATAATCTCAATCGTTTGAATGACATCTACCTACGGGTTACTCATGAATAAAATTAAATATAATATATGGTTTAACGTTATTTATAGTTGTTGTTATTGTTAATTAATTTTTTAAAATTTATTTGTTTAACGTTTTAATTTCTATCATTGTTATTTATAATTGTTGTTATTACTTAATCGTAAATACTAGGCGTATTTACCTAGATAAGAATACTTGAAGTGGCTAGGTAAGATTTCAATTCAAGTGTGGGCGGGTGGATTATGGAAGGGAGCATCTTCTTTGGAGAATGAGGTAAGGCAACTTGAAAGAAATCATTCTTTTTTGACTTGTTAACTTCCAAAGTCTTTACAGTCTCTTCAACTTCGGAGTCTAATGTATACATTTCCAATGTTTTCTTCAAACTCTCACAATCAAGGCTCATGTTGAGTACCATATTCAAAATATCCCCATGTGATAAATCAAATACTTCTGAGGTTATTGGGTCAATCACATCAACTCGATACAATGGAGAAATGTTTTTAGGGTACCTCATTGCTTTAAAGATGTTGAAGTCAATGGTTTCTCCATCAAATTCCATAGTGATCTTTCCTTTATGGACATCAATGATTGTGTGAGTGGTAGTCATGAAAGGTCTTCAAAGGAGGATCATAGATGATTTGGAAGGAGTTTTATCTTCAATATCAATGACATAAAAATCCATGGTAAAGACAAGTTGATTAACTTGTACCAACACGTCCTCTAACACTCCTCTTAGAGACACACTTGACTTTTTGCTAATTGGATGATTACTCCGGTTTCTTCCAAAGGTCCAAAATTGAGAGATTAAAAAATAGAATATGGAATCACATTGATTGAGGATCCAAGATCTAACATGGAACTTCCGACATACAAATCACCAATGGTACAATGGATAGAAAATATTCCCGGATCCTTTGCATTTGGTAGGTAACTTCTTTTGTCTTGCATCTTTTCATTTTCCTTGAATTTCCTCTTCGTGCACAATCTTAAGAAATTTGGAATAGCTTGGAATTTTCTTAATAGCATCCAATAGTGGAATGTTTATTTGGACCTTGCGAAAAGTCTCAAGAAACACCTTCTCTTCCTCCTTTTTCTTTGAAGGGGCTAACCAATAAGGGAAGGGTGGTGGTATGACCAACAGATTGATGGTCTTGTTGGTAGATTTGGCTTGCTCAATGTTTGGAACAACCGATTCATTTAAAGGAACTATCACCTTCGAAGGTTCAACAACAATAACCTCTTCTTCTTCTTTTCTTGAAACTATTTTGGGGTTGCTTTCTCATAGCGTTTTCCTACTTTTCAAGGTTCTTGCATTCACATTGGGATTCTTCTCAGTTTGAGATGAAAGCTTACCCCTTTGTTCCATCTTGTTGAGAGTGGTGGCCAACTCTCTATTTGTGCTTGAATGTTGGAGAAGGTTTTCTTTGTCTCTTGTTGAAATTGGGGTTGGCTTTGAGCAAGAGAAGTAACAACTTCTTGAAGACTCATTTGATGGTTACCACTTAATTGGCCTTGTTGTTGAGGTTATTGATAATGTAAAGGGGGATGAGATGTTTGTGGAATGACATATTATGGTTGGGTATGTTGTGGATATGGGTTGTGTGGGTTATTCCTCCAATTGGAATTTTAGGTATTCCGAAATCCAATTGGTCTTGGTTGACCTTAATATCCTCCCATTGCATTAAAATCCTTCGGTTGACTTCCAAGTATGGGACACTTATCTATATAGTGCCCCGTCATTGCACAAATACTACAAACCATCAAGTGTTGACCACTTCCTACCACCATTTGACTCAACATATTAGTCCAATCCAAGAGTTTTGATTCCAAGTGTTGGATGTTGCTAGCTTCACCAAAAAAAATCGTGGGGAACTTCTCCTCATGTCATTTCGAGTCCTAAAGTTTCTTTATTTTCAGAAATTGTACGAAAAAGTGATCTTATCTCTTGAGGTGTCTTGTTGAATATGTCACCACCACTTGAAGCATCAATCATCCTTCAATCTTTTTCATTTATACCCTCATGAAATTGTTGAAGAAGTAATTATTTGCGTATATTGTGTTGAGGACAACTTGTACACAAGTTGTTGAAGCGCTCCCAAAAATCATGAAATATCTCATTCTTCCTTTGACGAATCCCCAAAATGTCACTCCTTTGACTTGATATTCAGGAATTAGGATAGAAATTTTAATTGAAGGCCTTGAGTAACTCTTCCCATGTCTGAATAAATTCTGGTGGTAATTTGAATAACCACTCTTTAGCTTTATCTTCCAAGGTAAGTAGGAAGGCGATTAGCTTGAAATTATCCAATGTCACATGTTCAGGCAACATGCTAACACATATCATCTGAAAGGACTTCAAATTTCTTTGAGGCTCTTCTCTATCCAAAACTTGGAACTTGGTGAGTTGTTGTATGAAACTTAACTTCAATTCAATCCCTCGGGTGTTTGCAGGATAAACAAGACCAAAAAGTGTGTCAGTAGCATTTGTCTCCATCATTTGTCTAAGTGTTAATTCTTGAGAGGGATTGGGTAGATTGGGGTTTTGTTTCATGAAATTAGGAGGTTGTTGGTAAGGTGGTTATGAGTATTGTTGGTGATTGTACATTTTGATGGGTTTTGAGCATAACTACAAATCCTATGTGTTCATGCAACCCTATTGCTTTTTATCTATGTTTTTCACTAGTTGAACATGTAGACTTGAATACCAAAAAAACCCTAGGAACTAGTATATAAATTGAAGATTACACAAAATTAGGGTTTAAATGTTCACCTTACTCGTTATGTTGTAATACCAAGAACACCTTTAAGATCTTTGACTCTTGAAAGCAAGTGCCTAAAGTGTGACACCTCTAATATCTTACAAACACTCTATACAAAAGTATGAGAAGGAGAGAGGTGAGAATGCACTAGAATTTTCGACTCTTCTAGGATTAAAAGGTAGTAGCCGAAAGTCACAAGGATAGCCCTCCTTATATACTTGTGATTTCTTAGTCCCAAAGTTAGGGTTTGCAGGTGGAAACCCTGATTCTCTGATTGAAGGCCAAAGTAACCCATAGACCCTTATTAAGGAGCGTTGGATGAAAACCCTATATTTTTCATCCACCCCTTTCCATGGAGTCATGGAGCCTAGTTTCAATACTATCAACGATTTGAAAATCACCCCATGCATTATTAATAAGTTCGTTTAATCCCAAAAT